AATAAGAGATATAAATCAATTCATAAATTCTTAACGTCCAAAAATAATCACATCCTATGGAAATTCACATGCATATGATGCATAAAATCAGGAATACCTACTGAAAAAATTATGTGTACACCGGGAATTGAACTTGGAAGCTTTGGAAGAAGTAGTGTTACCCAAAATCGGTCTTGGTCTTGTTCTTGCGTTTTCGCAAGACTATGCAAGATTTGGACTGAGGCCCTTATTACAGAATGACAACTAAGTGTTGATCTTTACTTGAGTACACTTAGAAAGGGATGTCGCTATGTGCTATATATAGCGACATTCCTTTCTAACTATGATCAAGACTAGATCAAACACTGAGAATCTTTCTATAATACAGGCCTAAGTGTCGTTTTAGGGAGTATATGAGTTTGGCTATATGCTTTAAAATATAATATTTTTATTAACCAAAAAACTACGAAAGTTGCTCTAAGTTAACTATAAGTATATTTTTTACCTATCTACGAAATTATCATTAAGCAAGATTTGAACCACAATAGTATGAAACACTTCTGGGTAAAAGCTACTAACTCATAGAACAAACTTGCGAGACTGTTCTATGAGTTCTATGACTGCAAGACCAAGACCAAGACTGGCCAAGTCTCTACGTAGAAGGTAGAAGCGCTTCCGTTGCACTTACCGCTATGATAATACGGAATTCTTCATCACTCGTGAACTGTACCCTTAGTACGAGTTTTACAATTACGAAAACTATGATAGTTTTCGAGAGCTCGCACACGTACTAAGGGTACTGATTTTATTGTTTTCGTTTCAATACAAACAAACAGTGTTTAAATTCTATCATTGAATCATTTGCGTCTTCTTAAATTCCAAGTATATTTGGTTACTTTTTACGAAAATGGACATAGAAACATAATTTACACTAACGAAAACTACCATAGTTTTCGTGAGCTCAAACTCGTACGAAGGGTACAGATGAATAAACATTCCGACTCAAGGAGCTCGATGGCGCAGGTGGTTAGCGCGTTCGGCCTGCGATCGGGGAAGTTGAGCAACTTTCACAATGGTTGGTCATTGGATGGGTGATCAAAAACTTACTCGGAGACTTTTCTTAGGAGCTCGATATAGAACTCCTTCGTGCTTTGGAAGACACATCAAAGATTGGTTTCGGCTGCATCTGCAGTCGTTAGCACATACCAAGCGCAATCCGCGTGGTGGGTCACGGTTATCCCTATTCCATCTATAGAGAGGGCCTGTGCCCCAGCAGCAGTGGGGACATTGATAGACTGGTGATGATTTCGACTCGCACTTGGGCGATTTTCCTTATACAAATTTATAACGCGTTGAATATACATACTTTTTATGAAATAGAGTCAATCCTTGTTAAGTAACTAGAAGCTGCATACGACTTCATCTGCGAGAAAAAATTGATTACCCATACAAACTTGCACTCCCCTTGTCACCCCCTAAAAGGATGTCAACGATATTGAAGTTGAATTCATATGTCTAATTAATTGATTTTGTATTAACGCTGTGAAATTATAATATTTTGTCATTATATTGTTACGTAATTTAATGCTGTGATGAAATTTTGTTCGCCTGTTTTACTCTACAGATAAAAATGTCCATAACAGGAGGTAGGAGAAAACATTGTCAATTGAAAAGAATTGTTATTGTTCCAATATTTATTTATTTATTACTAGCTGACGCAGCGTACTTCGTATTGCTTACAATAATTTGGAAGAAATGATAAACGACGAACGTCAAATGTTTGACAGGAATATACACATAGATAGAACAGTTTATATGGAAAAATGAAATTGTATTTTTACTATCTTCCTCGCAATTTTTCCATATTTTCTTACCGTTTAAACCTTCCCTGGACTACGACAAACATATTGAAACCAAAATCAGCTAAATCGGCCCAGCCGTTCTCGAGTTTTAGCGAGACTCACGAACAGCAATTGATTTTTATATACATACTAGCTGACTCAGCGAACTTCGTGCCGCCAAAAATAGGGGCTGGTGGTAGAAGGGTGAAAATTAAGGGCTGTATGTATTTTTTAATGTCTGATTATAAAAGAATAAAATTTTGCCAATATAAATAAAAATAAATGTTAGGGGTGGACAACCGTTATTACTTAGGGGTATGAAAAATAGATAGTAGCCGATTCTCAGAATAGGCATATAAAATTTCATAAAAATCGGTCAAGCCGTTTCGGAGGAGTATGGTAACTAACATTGTGACACGATAATTTTATATATAAGATAGGTATAAATCTATTTCTGGGTAAAATTGCTATTCATTGTTCTCTTTCGGGACTCAAACTATCTCTATACCCAATTTTAACTAAAGTGATTCAGAGGTTTATGCGGGAAGCGGTAAGAGATAATGAATATAGGTAATGGATTTATCCAACATAGTTCTCCATACGTAATATTTGTAACAAACGTCGAAATAATGTCATAATTGCGTATAATTAAAAGCTGTGGTGTTTAATTAAGCGAGGCTTAAATTTTATTTTTAAATACCCTTAATTTCAATGGTTTTAAAATTAAAATCGGAATAACGTAATGACTCGATATTAATTAAAGGGTTAGGTTTCAAGGGTTTGATTTCAGAAATAAATAGAAAGTATGTAATCTATATATAAGTATAATAAAATGCTAGGAAAGTCAAAACTGTACATTGTTTTTTTTAAAAAAGCATACTTGTGGTATGATCTACAATAATTGATACCGAAGCCAAAAACATACTTTTTAGATTTTTTGTCTGTTTGTCTGTATGTATGTATAATGGGATAAACTCAAAAAGTACTGTACCCCTAGCACGAACCATTATCGAATTCGAATAGTTTGCAAACCGAAATGTCAATGGTACTGAAAGGATGGGCACGAATATTATTAAGAAGTCGTTTCAACATATAGGCTTCATATTATCACGCTATCACCTACGGCGCACGAGCAGTGAACCTTTATTTCTATCTAACTCCACGCGTACGAAGTCGCGGGAGGCCGCTAGTTCATGCAATATACTTTTTTTACTCGTGTTTGTTTTTTTTGATTTAAACACGTCGCTGTATTTCAAATGATATGTAGATGTAGCTTACAGAAATTAGGTTTGATAAAAAAGGGGATTTGACAAGTTTTAGAATACGATCTCAAGTTATTGATTAATGTTTATGCAGTCGATAGACAAATTCAGTAAAAAAACTAAATTCTAAATTTAATTTTCAAGTTGCCGCGAAAACTGTTACTCTGGACATTATGGCGTTTCATTAGTGTGTGACGTCACACGGCTGTCATTAAAACGTCAAACGATACGATGTAATGTCACTTTGGGTGGAAGTTTACTAGCGTATGACGTCATTTTAGTCTTGGCCAATCCCAGGCGCTTTTGTCACGTGACCATGGAACAAAAAAAACATTTTTATTTTATAGAAAAGTTATTAATTGTTTGTTCTTTCAGGTTTGTGAAATCGCTGCTAATATTCATATTAAATACAGATTCCAAAAATTGTTATATTATTTTTCATATTGTCAAATAGCCTATTATAAAACTTATACGATGCAGTGGCGGGCGTAGCGAAGATTTTTTTAAAACATTTTATATTTCATCTTTTTAAATTTTGCTTTCCTTTATTTTAATTTATCTCACGGAAAGGGTACAGTAGGAAGGGGCTGTAGGAACTTTTGTCCCATTATTAATGAAGGAATATGTTTAGACAAGTTACGCCGTGTTTTGTTCATGTCACTCAAAAGCCTAAAGTCATTCGATGAACAGAGATAAAACATGGAGTAACTTATCCAAGCTTATTCTTCGTTTATTAAATAAGGGGGTTTATGTTTACTCAAATCTGTTAATCAGCTACCTCCGCTAAGCCATTTTTATTAAGTACATAATGTTTAGTCGACTAGAAATTCCACATTTCTTAAATCCTTACATAGTTCCGGATCTTCAGTATATCCAAAATTATTGAACCCGGAACTAATGAGTCACTAAAAGTGTTTGGATTTTATACCCAAATAACGGAACCATAATATATTAGGGTTTCCGAGGATCAAGGATCCGCTATTCATCCGTCCGTCTGTCAGAGTGCTGTGTTTTATGAACCTTGAGTTTTTCTTGAGGAAGATAAAAGTTAAAAACCAAAAAGTCGGTTATTTTGATTTGTCCTAGATATTTTTAGGTTAAAAAAAACGTAAAAAGTTGCGTCCCGCCCTTGCTGGCCCTATACCGCTCGTGATTTACTTTTCCTCTTTTTCTAATGTGTTGTCGTCCTTCTGGTACAGGTTTCATCTTGTTCCGAATATTTTTCACTTTTTACGATAAACGGCATCCACCCTGATCTACATAACAGGTTTTATTATTATGTTCGAAAAGCTTACCGCAAAGTATTTGATTGATTATTGCTTTGTTTTTATAAAAAAAAATTGTGCGGAGCAATGTTTAGCAACATTTTATAAGTTTTGTTTAGTTATTTTGATATGTGTTAGATATGAGATAAGCTTTTTTCTCGGCCACGAGTCCACAAACATTGAGAAACATTGCGCAAGCGAAATGCATTGCACAAATTTAGCGTGAGCAATATTATTATGTTATAATATATTGATTTCTGATTTCTGATTTCTGAATAATTATTAAATATTTTCAAGTAATATTGTTTAAATCTAAAGAAATGTTTACTAGAAATAATTCCACGCGGACCAGGCAGCACACGGGACTCGAAGCCGCACTCTTCGCTATCCGGGCTAATGCACTGACTATTAAGCTACCGCGGCCCTGATGGCCGTGTCGAATTTACTCCAGTGTTTCTTAAGCTGCAAAGTAGTGCAATCTCTTCACATTGTAGGTAACCCACAATGTCAAATGAATACCTTTACAAGTATTAAACTTTTGAAAGAAGAAGTAGTAATTACAGTTATATTTTTATTATTTAAGCATTTAACTGCTATATAGAGTCACACCGTCTAGTCTGTTTCTTGGTCCGCGTGGATTTTTTTCTAGTAAACTTTTCTTTAGATTTAAAAATATCTAGCAGTTAAATGCTCAAAATATATATATAATATAGTGTTATCAATAAGTGCCACTGTAATACAGACCGCATCCTCATGAAACAGGGAAACTCGAAACATTATAAAAGCTCTTGGCTTCGTTGAACCAGTCACACTCTTCATTCGCCCATTGGGTGAACCGGGCGCAACTAAACTAGGCTCTGCCTTTACAGTTGTCAGTCCTACACCCAATCCTGAAAGTCTTGTAAGAGACCAGGATATTAGAACTTCTAGCTTCTATATAAAGAGAGGTTTAGACGCGCTTAGAGTCACAAATTATTCGATACTCACAAACAAAAGTGTATTCGATTCGTTGGTGGAAAATTGAAAAAGTGAATATGTGTTCAATTGTTATGATGAAGATCGCTGTTGTTTTCTGTTTTTGTGAAGTGATTAATGCGGCGGCCGTGATGGGAAAGCAGGATACAGGTGAGTTTTTAGGTTTTTTTAAATGATTAAAAATTTAATCAATATAAGTTAAGCCTCGATGACACGGGTGAGTTTACAAGCTACAAGCCAGCGAGTTCGCTAGTAGCTCGCCCTGTGTCATCGAGGCTTTAGTAAATACCATCCTATATGAATATACAATGATCTTTGAAAAGGTTCCGATGAAGTATCTTCCGGTTTTTATGTACTGGGTTCGAATCCCGATAGAAGTACTATTTACGTAATCAATACAACGTCTTTTTAATTTAATTGTTCCAATATTTGTTTCTTAGATTTTTTTAGTCTTTGTTTTCACGAACATTAATTTGTAAAGTGTATATTTTGCAATTTTTGTTTTTCATTTTCTTAATAACTGCCTATGAATTATTATTAATTTCAAAATATAACGTACTTACTTATAGGAAAATAATAATATATCAAAATATAATCAATCTATATTATATTGGCTGTAATATATTTTGCGCACGACAATATTCCTCGGATTATCATTATGAAATGTATGATTTATTTATACGTTTTCCAGCTTTAGTAATTTATATATCAAATTAGTTATTAACCAAAGAGTATAAGTATTTAAATCGGCAAAAATTTTCACAATTCAATTGAGCAGGTACAGTTAATTCATGTTGCTAAGACTCTTTTGATGAGCAAATTGAATTGAGTACTCATAATTTTGCGTTATCTTATTACACGGAAAGCTCTGCTCTTGGTTAAATGTTTCGAAATTCAATTGTGTAGGTAGGTGAGTACATTAAGAAAATTATAGTCATCCAGAACTCTAAATTTCTCTAATCTATTTCAAATTGACTTAAATCTTCTTTGAATTTTCTTTAAATATTTTTTCTTACAAACCGTTCAAGACATCTTTTAGTTGACAGAAGAAACGAGCGGAAAGAACTAAATAGCTATACACAATAAGACCTTATAAATATTATAAGGCTTACACAGTTCATAAGTAATAATGAAACCCAATATGTGATACAAAAACTTTCCGGCAATTTTCTTTGTCAACATAGTTTGCACTTCTTCTTCTGCTTCTTCGTCTTTTTTGTTTAAAGTATAAAAAAAAAATTTTTTTTCGCGCTTAGACGAACTTAAGATCGTGTGATCCCCTGATCTGTTCATAAGCCAGCTGAATTTAAACTATGTAGTTCGCAAAGTCCATCTACGGGACTTAGTTCGATGATGTGAAATGTGAATGTGAAAGGCCTATATTAAAGCAGTTTTCAATTTCTCCGTTTCAGAACACCGGTGCGGTATAGTGGCATCTCCCAACCCTATCCACCAGCATCCTTGGTTAGTGCTTCTAGAGTTCTATAGAAGGGACATGAAGCACGAGAGGAGGTGTGGTGGTTCTCTGATCAGCAAAAGACACGTCGTAACGGCCGCTCACTGCGTTCAGAAAGCCATTTCAAAGAATGCTAGGTAACTAATTTATATATATTCATCATCATCATCAGCCTATAAATGTCCCCACTGCTGGGACACAGGCCTTCCTAATGGATGGAATAGGTAGCTTGGGCCACGACCCACCACGCAGGCCCCGTGCGGATTGGCGGGTGCTAACGACTAAAGATGTAGCCGGGACCAACGGCTTAACGTGCCTTCCGAAGCACAGAGGAACCCGAGATAGAAGATTTTTGGTCACCCATCCAATGACCGACCACTGCGAAAGTTGCTTAACTTCAATGATCGCAGCCTAATGCGCTAACCACCTACGCCATCGAGCTCCTCACCATAAATACCACTGTTTGAATTTTTATATATTGTACATATATACGCTATATAATCAGCGGTACGATCTGGCAACACAGAGCATCAGCACGCGTCGTACGCACCACTTTTCATGACGTCACCAGAATTATTTCTTCGGAATCGGATGCCTACCGCACTTTACTGAAAGAAAAATGCGGAGTGTACGTTGCGTATATTATGTGCGATCACGATCACCTTTAACTGCCACTATGTTCGTAACATTAAAGAGTTTCCGTAGCTCATTCTTGGTCGTTTGTTGATTGCAGGCTTTTCGCTCGTTTGGGGGAGTACGACTTGTCCAAGGAGGTGGACTGCGTGGACGGCGTCTGCGCAGACTTGCCTGTCAAGCTGGAAGTGGTACAAGTGACCACGCATGAAGACTATAAGAACCACGACATAGCTATACTCACCTTATCAGATGACGCTCCATACACAGGTACTTAAAGTCTTCATATATTTTATTACCATGGATGGGAGACGAGCTGAGGGGCCATCTGATGTTAAACGCCCATGGACATCAGCAATGACACAGTGACACAGCCATGCCGCTGTCTTTCGTGGAACACTCCATTTAAGCCTCTCTTGAAGCTGACCTTCTTATAGTATTACTATTATATAATTTGATCCCCCCATACCCTTTTCACCACCGGACGACCAGGCGCGTCGAGAGCTGTCACCCTTATGTTGTCAAAGTTCCTCCCATTCGTACGAAGCGATTTGCTTCCGCTTTCATTATGCGAACGGCTAGGGAGTGGAACTCCTTGCCGTGGTCTGTTTACCCGGGACCAATATAATCTGGACATCTTCAAGGCTAGAGTGAACAGGCATCTTCATCATCAGCGTATATCATCATAGGCCTCATCATCGCTTTCCATCAGGCGAGATTGTGGTCAAACGCCTTGCCTATTAAGCATAAAAAAAATTGTGTGTGTCAGCTCCGACGCACGACTGGAGTTTACTCCTTAAGTTCGATAATCTAACCAGACGCAAAAAGAGTTTATTTAACTTAAAAAAGATTGATACTGTATGAAAGGGTAAATTAACAAATTAATGAAAATAATAATATAAATATATATTTATTCATTTCATAGACATTTATTATAACTAATCGACGAAATATTTTACATTAAACTTTTTACAATAGTCAATTTCAGATGTGCATAAATATATCATTAGGAATGTTGATAAATTATGTAATTATTATTATCAGACTATTATATTTTTTTAAAATATTAATTAAATCAACATTGTCTGCATTATTAACTACAGTGACAAGTGGTTTATGGTAATTAAAATAAGACACATGGACGTTCGTAGATACGTGGTTCACGAATCTTGAAAATACCGCATCAATGGTTGTACCATACCTCGTTGTCCCCATTGCTCTATTAGAAACAATATCTAAATTCAGTTCAGATTTAAAAAAAAATATTAATGTCAATCCGTCATCTTTGTTTGTCAAAGTTACGCGACATAGGATGCGCACCAAAAACGTAACGAGGTCATTCATCGATATATTTTACTCCTCACAGTTTTCTCATACCGGGCCCCTTATATGCAAATCGATTCTTAAGGAGTAAACTCCAAAAAGTACTGAGGGAAGACCGTGGAGAGGAGCTTATGTACTTTTAGGAAGAGTTAGGGCATAGCGGAATTGGAGGGCATGGCATTTATGTGATATGAACAAAACATGGCGTAACTAGTCTTTATTAATAAGGGGGTTAAAGTGGGGGTTTTACGTCGCCTTAACTTTTCTCGATCATTAAGGTATTTAACTGAGGTTTTTCTGAAAATTATTCGAAATTGATGTTACTCAGGCTTCAAAAAAGTCCTTCCTCAGCTGAGAATCGAATCCGGGCCGCACACTATATTTTTTAATAAAAAATGTAATATTAAACGACGAGACATATAAAAGATTAACGAAAAGTGGCAATGTAACAAAAGTTTCAGTTTAAAAATATTTCTTTTGTGACATTTCAATTATAAAAAACATTTTATAATTGAAATGTCAATGTTAAATGAATACTGCTGATTTTAAGTTCACGTTACATCCGTTATGGCGCTGCTGTTCAAGTTTCCATACAAAATTTTAAACGACATTTAGCACTCGCGAACTATTCGGATTCGATAATGGTTCGTGCTAGGGGTACTGTTTACAATACTAAGGGCCTGTTTCACAATCACTGAGTAAAGTTGTAAGTAAGCTTATCTGCTCAGTAAAGAATAGGGATGTTGACTTTGACGTTGACAGGGCACATTGGCTTGCTTCTAAACGCTTTTCCAAAAATTTATAACATCCCTATTCTTTACTGAGCAGATATTTACTTAACTTAGAACAGGCCCTAAGACATTTAACTGTTCCTTGGATAATCAGATGATCATCAATTTTTTAAATTAATTGCGTAAAAAAGAAAATGACGCATCTTGTGGCACGTGGCACGATGTTTAGAAAAAAAAAACTTAAAAGTATAAATAGCAATTACAGTTTCAAAGGCTCTGGTTTGGAATCCCCACACCGCGTCCGTGACTCACAAACGAATGAATCTTATTGAATTTGTTTATCAAAATTCCCTATTGTATATTAATTATGCTAAGGTTCAGTAGCACAATATTAATTATAATATATATATTCTTTATAATATCACTAGCTTTCTAAAGCAATACTGGTAAGTAAGGAGCTGGTACATTCTATGAGTTTTGTTAAACTCCTAGTCCAGGATGGGCAAGATAGAGAAAGCAACATATACAATAAAACTTACAGGTCAAATTACTAAGTACTTATTTTAATTATATAATACTAATATTTCCATAATTAATGATTTTATTGTTATGACACTTTATTTTGAATAGCAATAACAGTATTCGGTCTAAAGAAAAAGAACGGTGTTCGTATATAATATTTGTTATACGTTTTTCCTTATTTTGAATTCGCGGGGAATTAGCTAACACAATTTTATGATTGCTTCTCTTATTAGTCACTATAGTGTGTCATGAGTAACGTAGTGTCTTCAATCAATCAATCAAATGAAATTAATCTACTTAATAAAATTACTTTAATTAAAAAAATGAGTACAAGTTTAAATTAAATTTTCCAAGTTCCGTTTTTCGTCTTACTGTTTTCATAGTCACATAATTTAATTCTTTTATAGAAAAACATACGTAAGATAAATAAACATTATCTTATTATCAAGTTCTTGTCTGCGAAAGTTTGAGTAATCTGTTAGTCAAGCTTTTACTTTTTGCCCGCCAGAGCTTAAAGTTGACGCATGAGGTACATGTTTTTAATGTGGCATTTTTTATAGTCTTTTGATACTATGTAATATCAACTTTAAGGCGGTCCACTAATTTCAATTGTCGAAAGTTTTCTGAGGTCTACTTCTCCTACATTTTCGATACAACGTCGCTCGTCATCATCATCTTCTTCAATACTATTCTATTCTTCGAGCCTTAATACCACCCAACCATACCCGATGACAATAGCAAATTCACACGATTGAATGTTTGCTCTTTTTCCTTGCAGATACCATCCGTCCAATATGTTTCCCTTCAGCAGAAGACTTACGCGAGAGGATGGTCTTCAGCGCTTCAGGTTGGGGCGAGATCGTCAACAAGGGAGTCTACAGCGATGTCAAGAAAGACTTGAGACTACCTTACTGGGCGAGAAGCAACTGTCAGAGTGCATACAATTCAAAAGTGCCGAGCCACGTGATTTGTGCGGGTGGAGAGCAAGGCATAGACACGTGCCGTGGCGATTCTGGTGGTCCTTTAGTCTGGGGTAAGAATTATTTCGAGCTTTTCGGTGTCACGAGCTCTGGAAGCGTCAATTGCGGCACGAAAGGCACCCCCGGCATATACACCAGTGTCATCGACCATCTGGACTGGATTAAAGAAGTTATAAATCAATGAAGAAGCGTGTGTTTTAATTTAGGGTTTTAGCCAAAGTTCTTCCTAAACGTTCGAAGTCTCTGAAGAGAACAATGCTTAGGATAGAAATACTGAATTTATATTTGCTATTTGCTTCCGCTGGCATAAAATTTGGGTTTTGAAAATGAAAATTCTTCCCAAATGTTCAAAGTCTCTGAAGAGAATAATGTCTGGGAAGAAATGCCTATATAATATATTATTTTCTCTCCGCCTACGAGTACAGACCAGGTATATAAATATGTTTTAGCTGTTGTTAAAGTTTCAGTTCAATCTGCCTTTCGACGTTCTCAGGCAAATTTCATAAACGCTTAAAAACTAAATGGGAGAGCTAAAGTAAACTTAGAACTTAGAAAGTAAATAAATAGAGAGATTTAATTCTGTACTGATACGCTTTTGAACTTTTTATAATAATTTTGATTTAATAGCTAGGGAGCATCGTAGTTGATACCAAGACGTGATGTAGTCTGCACCTATGTTAACTAGAAAAACTAAGCGATGAGCTTAAGTAACTCTGATTTTTTCTTCTAAATAATATCGAAATTGTAAAGAAAAAATTCTGTCATAAATTATATATTATCGTTTCTGCCATCAATGATATCTATTAAACAGTTTTTAAAATTATCAACAATACAGATTATATTATTAATGCAACATCATCATAGTAGCAGAAGAACTTTTTTTATCTTTTATAACATGATTTCAATAAATTGTTCTAGTCTGCCTGCCGATGAAGTATTTTGTTTTTGTATTATAATAATAGGAAAAATAATAATTAGTTTCAAACACAACAGGAAAAACTTCTGACACTAGCTAGCATTAATTTAATTTTTATATGTGCATTAAATAGATTGTAGAAAGGCTATCGACAGAAGCTATAATGTCGTTTTTGACAATTATATAACATTTTTCTCTATCTTCTATTTGATATTGCGGCAATAAATAAATAGTAAAAGTTGTTTAAAATGACTATTTTACTTAGTGCTCTAATATTTAAATTTTTTATGTGCATTAAATAGATTGTAAAAAGGCTATCGACAGAAGCTATAATGTCGTTTTTGACAATTATTTTTATTAACATTTTTCTCAATCTTCTATTTGATATTGCGGCAGTAAATAAATAGTAAAAATTGTTTAAAATGATTATTTTACTTAGTGCTCTAATATTATCAAACTCTGTCAGAAGAGGATATCATATAAAAATTACTGCCACTACACCCCTCCCTAGCTATAAGAAGTTGTGGTAATACTGCTGTATGTTTATTTATTTTTTGTTATACTTTCATACTTTAGTGCAGTCGGGAATTCATTCTATGTATGTGATTGACTGAACTATAAGTATTAGCCCGCTCTTTAATGATTTCTTTTGTTTTAAATACTATTAAGATAGTTTAAATGAAGATACTACAAGTCTGATATAGGATATTTTCGATATTTTATTGTAAGATACAGATAACTTTGTATTTAGAAAGAATATTATATTTATTGAACCAAAAATATTAACATGTATGCAGGCATACTTTTATTAGTAATTGATTTCTTTAGTCTACAATACCAGCCTCATTAGCAAAATAAGAATAAAATTGACTTAATATAATTTACTGTCAATTTGACTGTTATTTATTAATTTTTATGAATTAAGTTTAATGTAAAATAAAAGTTACCTCAGAAAATGTTTGCCAATTTGCCTAAACACATTGTGCTGCCGATTGTAATTATAGTATTATTATACATTTAATGATATTAATTATAAAATGTGATAAAACTGCAGCGATATTTTATAAAGCTCAGTAGAAATTAAGTAGGTATATGTAATTATTGGCCAATCATACTTTTTAAAAGGAATAAATGAATTAACCAAAATTAACTTCGAGCCATTGCATTTTTTATATGTAGTTTTTTTTCCTTTACCTAATACCACTAAAACTTAACACATAATAATTTAGTACTTCACAATAAAACCGATAAAAACAACAAGAAGTTTGTAAAAATTTGCCACTGCTTATTTCATATATTCAATATTGACGAAAGAACGGTTCACATGATTTATCAGGAGCTAAGCTATGCATAGCCGGAATACATTTCTTCTGAGCGACAAAAGCTCTATTTGCGTCAGTACTGTTACCCCAGAGCAACAGCCCAAACGCATGGCTCATCTGATGGTAAGCAGCCACCCTAGCCTATAGGCGCCTGCGATACCAAAACTATCAATTGCACCTTTGCCTACCCAGGGGCATCTTAACCATATGCGGCGCCCGGGTGCAAAAGACAACAATGCGCCCCCTCTTTTTAAAAAAAAATACAAATAAATTTTTTATTGTATAGACTGCTACAAAAATATAGAAAAAAATAAATCACATAAATAAGCAAGCATACGTGTATGTATGTATGTATATGTGTATGTATTTTAGTTTGACCGAGTTGACTAGAAAAACGTAAAACGTTGTAGTTGGGTAAGGTAAGTAGGTAGGTAGGTACTATATACCACCAGATTCATTCACATGTTGATCTAGGGCCCAGCGCACGGGTGCAGCTGGAACTAGCGCTGCTATGGGAAAGACACCCCTGTGTCTACCTTGACCATATGCCCTATCGCGGGGAGCCCTGGAACCTTCCGACATCAAACACAACACCACCAAACAGTAATGTTATTTTACCGTGATATTTTGTAAGGAGGAGGTCACTTCCTAAGACGGGATCTCCAATTCGATCGGAAATGCCGCAACCCGCTATCTATCTTAAGATTAACTGCTTTTGTTTTCAGTAGGTCAGATTTTTAAAACGTTATTCTAATGATCATAACAGAATTTCATGTTGCGAATGCATCTAATGTTCCTAAAGGAGTCCATGGGTCCCGTTATCAAAAGAATATACATATAAAAGGGGTCTACAGAATCTCAGTTAATTCTTAACTCTTTATTAAGTATATATTGGTAAAGGACAATGGGCAAAATTGCATGGACACTGCACCCACGTCCGCCACGGCTTAAACTACATTTGTTCGAAAGGTATCATAGTCATGATCATTTGTGCCAAAGCGCATCAAATTCCATCCCAGGAGTCTTTAGTTATTTTAAGTTAAATAGGTACAATTCCATAGGTAAAAGTAACTATAACGAACATAATATTTAAAAATACAAGGACGAGTATATAGAACTCGAGTCGAGTGGTTTGTACGCCGGGTTTCATGGTGTCGCTGGCTCGAGAGGTCCCGGGTTAGAATCCTGGTGGGGGCAGATGTTTGTGTGCTGAGTACGAGCATCTAAATTGATCCATAGATTTTTTATTAGCTCGTACGATTATAATGACGTACGCGATGATAATCGTGTTCCTATTTCTAAAGCGTGTTAGTTAAATATCAATGAAATAACAGGGAGCGCACAAAATGTAAGACATAGGACTGCATACGAGTAGACTAGTTGCAACGGCAACTGCAATATCACATCCTTCAACCCCCATACCCTGTTAGACGTTTTGAGGAGTCTCAGTAAGTGCAAGCAGCAAGCAAGCAGGATAGTCGGTAGGCTTTGTTGTTTAGTATTTTGTATCTGGTTGTACAGTAAGATATGATTCACTCACTTATTATTGCTAATATTATAAAACGAAAGTACTATTGATATTGAATGAATTTCTTTAGCTATTTAAATATCATCATCATCAGCCTATTAATGTCCCCACTGCTGGGGCACAGGCCTTCCCTATGGATGAAATAGGGAGATTGGGCCATGACCCACCACGCGGGCCCAGTGCGGATTGGCGGGTGCTAACGACTGCAGATGCAGCCGGGACCAACGGCTTAACGTGCCTTCCGAAGCACGGAGGAACTCGAGATAGATGTTTTTGGTCACCCATCCAATGACCGACCACTGCGGAAGTTGCTTAACTTCAACGATCGCAACCGAACGCGCTAACCACCTGCGCCATCGAGCTTCTCTATAAGGAGCTATTTAAATATGCCCGTGTGTAACCGGTCCCCACGACTTACACACAAAGGTCGTCTATAAGGACTATGTGCGGAAACCTTAACCCCTAATATAGAACATACCCAGGTGTATATCTTTTGACCCCCAGGTTATTTTTTTTGGTGCCATAATAAAAAAGGCTAGTTTTTCATAGATCTATCGATTCATACTAATTACATTGTTGGCGGAGCTGGGTGCGTTTTGCCCATTGTCCTTTAATGAGATTAACAATAAATAGTTTTTTTTATATAAAGTTCTTTTAGTTAAATATGCTTTGGCAAGGTGGTGTTACTTAAATTCTGGAAGTGGGCTATGAAAGTAAAGTTTGAGAAACACTGATTTGAACTGTTCTGTAGTAGTCCGTTCTTTCAGTGATTAAAGTTGCAAGAACTCCACGGGGAGGAGGACTTACAATTACTCACTACTGAAGTTAATGTACTATAGTTAAAATATGACATGAGGATTTCACACCACAATTTTTTTTCTGTGCTTCTCTCACATCTTCACGAAGAAGCTTTGGATAGCCTTGGTACTAAATGTGCTAAAAATAGGCTTTTTAATTTGAATTATGAAAAGGTTTGTCTGTCCGCTCGATAGTAAGCGTCCATATTCCTTTGTTTATAAAACTCACAAATGTAAAATAATAAAAATTAGTAAAATATAATATATATATGTTATGGGCCAAGTGATTAATGCGGGAAGTATTCATAGTGCCAGGGCAGTATGAATAATGCCCAGCCATATCGGGCCAAGTGATTAATTACAATCTAAACTCACCTATTTATCACATTGTCCGGTCATTATTAATAATGCCGGATGGCTCGTGGTCCATGTAATAAGTCAGTGTTTGAGATAGCTTGAATTTATCGCTTGGACCGGGCAGTATGAGTAAATTCAAAAAGTTGGTACTATTGTCAAAATGACAGATGCCTCGCCATTTTGTGTTTGTTTTGAACACTTTGAAAAAAAGGTAAATGTGGCTTTACAAGAGTCTTTAAATTCAGAACCGACTTGGTTAACCCCGACACGCCGTGTTCTTGGTCTGCCCTACCCCTACAGTGTTTTTAGAGCCCGGGGGCGCGGAGGGAGAGCAGCCCCCGCCTGCTGTGACAAAGCCGCAAGAATCGTGCGACCCATAGCGCCTGAGGCCGGCGGAGGTGGCGAAACAAGCCGAAGGTGTGAAGGGGAGTGATGCTTGTGACTTTGTCACGCAAAGGCGCAGGGGCTGCTATTACCGCAGCGCCGGAGATAAGGCAGAAGTACTAGTTCTTACTTCCCTAGTCCTTGCATCCTAAAAAATAGGGAATCATAAATTCTGAACATTTAACAGATTTAATGATTTTTCAAACAAACTGCATTGAAACTACTATAGACTATTTTTTCTAATGTAGCTCTGCGTAAATTGATCGAAGTAAAACCGAAGTAAAACCGGAGCCTGATTATTTAAATTTTAAAAATAAATGCTTAACTATAATACATGTTTTTATTATTACTCTACCCGATTCATTTGAAAGTATTAAACATGCTTTACATCACTCTGCCCAATAGGTACTTGGCATTTTTTTTTTTTTTTTTTAGCGGTTATCCCCAATTTGTATCAGGTCTTTTTCTTTCTTTTGTTTTTTGTTTGTTACTATTATATTGTTTTTATTCATGCCTGCTCTTTTGCTTGTTTTGTTGCGCTTTTTCTTTTGCACATCTTTCTTTTCCTTTCATCTTTTACAATTATCTTGATTCCTATTACATTTCTTATAATTTCTATTTTCTCTATTTACATTTTACATTTCCTTATATTTACACACACTTGTTTCCTTACTATCTATATTTCTTATTTACTACCATTTCTCTATTGTACACATTTCTTAATCCGATTTTACATTATCTGCCCATATGGCTCCTTGCCTAAATCTAAAATTTACAATTGTATAATACATAGGTTAATACCTATACTAATCATCCTTATTTCTTTCTATGACTTTTGTTACTATGCCTTTGCTATATTTAAGAAAGATCTCTCTATCTCTTTTGTTTGTTATAATTTCCTTCAGGTTATCCTTTCTAAGTTGTGTGTCTAGTGCTGTTTGTGCGTCGTGTCTTTCTCTGTTGTAAAGGGGGCATTCTAAGAGGACATGGAAGATGTCCTCTTCGGTATCGGGATCGCATACGCAACTTGGGGTGTCCTTCTTTTTAAACCTATGGAGGTAGGCGGAGAAACCTCCATGCCCGGTGAAGATCTGTGCAGCTATCCTATCAATTTCTATCTTTCTTACGACACCGAAGGCGCTCTCCCCGCAAGGGAAGAACGCCTTCGTTGTGGCCGCCGTGTCCTCGCTCCTATACCTACTGTCCCATTTTACTTTCGTCATCGCGCGTACATGTCGCTTGACGAAAGAGATGGGACAGCAGTCATAGTGCGATTTGCACTTCAACCCGAGGGCCGCCCCCTTCGCCAGCTGATCCGCTCTCTCGTTTCCGATCACCCCAACGTGGGCCCTGATCCAAAACAGGGACACGGTTTGTCCGTTGTCCCTGAGTTGGGCCAGGTTGCCCTGAATCGCCTTGGTGATCGGATGCGAGGAGTCTGGATCAGCTAGCGATTGGAGAGAGGACCTCGAGTCGCTGAGCACGGCCGCCTCCTTCCATCCCTTCCCTAGTACACACTCCGTGGCTTGGAGGATAGCATACAGCTCGGCTTGGAAGACTGTACAGTATGGCTCCAGCTTAAACTTTCGGGAAAGGACTTCTGCCTGCCCTTTCCAACAGGTCAGGGCGGCTCCCACCTTTCCCTCCAGTTTGCTGCCATCTGTATAGATCTTCACAAGACCTTCTGCCAGTTTGCTATCCTCCTCCTCGTTTTCCAGACATTCAAAACCTATCGTTCTGCTGCTACCGGGGTGGTCCGCACTTGGCAT